TTTTCACAAGCTCAACAAAAAGATTTTTCCATTATTCTTGAATCTCAGTGATTGGCATACCTACTTTATTCTTGATTGGTCACTTTGATGATCACATTTCCCTGCTAGTTTCTTCATTGTATTATATAGTCCTCTCATATTTCCTCTACGTCGAAATGAAAATTATCTAAGAATCAGAATTTTTTCAATTAGATTTTATCGATTCATCGTTAGGAAAATTTAACCAACTTTAGACAGCAATAAAGGTGTTGTTAATGTTTTCTATTACACTCAACGTTGCACAAGTTTACACCATTTACAATTTGTGAATAACATATTTGACAAATCAACAAGTGGTTTGTTTCTCTTGTTCTCCACTCTATTCTCTACATTTACCATCGGAGATCAGTTGACAAATACTAGATATTTCTCATTCTCGTGATGTTTCATTTTGTACACATGTCATATGATTTCAATGTCATTGAACATTCAAAGTATTTTTGTACTTTCTATTAAATGGTTTGGTAGTTTTGTAACTTTTTACACTGTCATTATTTTATTTAGACTTTTGGGAATTTCTTAGAAAAGGTTAAAACCTTTTTGCTCTTTAAGCATTGAGCCTTCAAAGATTTGTGGGTTTTTTTCATTAAGTGCGGTATTGTTATATAGTGTAAGAAATTGGATATATTCCGCTCGTTTTTGGCGTTATTGAAAATTTATTCGTTGTTTATAAATGTCTAAATAACCATTCAGATTGCCTATCGTGTATTACTATGAAAATAATTTGATGAAGACATTGGATTTGACTTGATTTTAACTGCTATGTCTGTAGTGTCGGTTGCTATGTTCAGCCCACATAGCTTATTCTAGATTATGGACAGGCCAATTTATCCATTCTTCTGGAGTCACGTTTTGACCTTGTTAATTATTGGCTTATCAATCCTGACTGTTTTTATGTAAGCTTTGTGTGTGCACTTTTTATCCTATTCATCACATGTCTGTAGGCTATGTTTATCTGGCTATAAATATTGATTAACGCTTGATTGAATCGAGTTGGCTCACATGCCTTCTCCACTGGGTGTCATTTCGTTTCGCCTTGCTCTCTTTCACTTCATTCGCTGCAATTCTCTGAATGTCTATTCCGATCAACGAGCGTACAAAATATACTAATTCAAACATCCATTCTCGTATTTGACTTAGTTGTTTCCTTTATTCACCAACGCGATTCAAGTCGATAATTTATTACGAGGATTGGCGATATATATATATATATATATATATATATTTCAACAGCAATCGTTCATACAATCCGTTTAATGACAGACATCAGACCACAAAAGTGGTGAGCCCATGAACAACATCGTCCGATCTAATTGACGTTAAAATGAAGAGCGCCACACATTCATGATAAACGTCTAGAGGATTATATTAAAAGAATTATATGAAATTGTTGATATACTATTACCAACATTTCTTATTATCTTCACACAACATGAAATTTTCGTATTCTCGAATAATCCTCATTTTGAAGGTAATCAAAACTGAGTTTCATAGAAGCATTACACGCCAGAGGGAAAAAGATTTCCTCAATGTAGTCAGTGGAGGTAGTCAACTTATTAAAGTTCATTTATAAGCGAACTTGTAACACTTTTCGAGGTTTTCATCATTGTTGTTTACTCAGAGCAACATGAATCAATAATAAAGTTGTCATCATAGTACTTGGTGCCAATCAGATGACGACAAGGACAGTGATTTCTCAAAGAACACAATTTTACCAAAGGATATCTAATATTCTAAACAATATTTAGAGCTGTTTTTTTGCTTACTCGGAATTCAAAGCAAAATATCACGTATTCAATACTTTGTATTTTGATATTAGTCACATGAAACACATTTGTCAACAGAGTTCTCAGTCAATAATTTTAGTAATGTGGGCGTCAACTCTCTGTTTCATATTGTGTTCAGATGTATGTTAATATGAAATTTGACAAAATAATAGAGTTGCCTCAGTTTTGAACTACACAGATTGACATTGTGATTGTGATGTATCAAGTTTGTTAGTGAGAATTAAGACGAGGCTGAGTATGAATAAGATGATATGATGAAGAGATTTTCACGATTTTCACTTGCAACATTTCATGAGATATGTATCTACTCCTACTGCAGTTAGTTTCTGAATAATTTTCTAATTTGTCTGGTTATTGTGTAAGACCTTGTGAATCGATGTCTATGTCTTCAGATTCGACAAACTAATTTCATTCTTGGTGTATTCAACATCGTCAGTGTTTTTGTATTCTAAATAGAGTTCATTTGCTTTTGTTATGATTTGCATATATTTCATATTAAGCATCTTAGTGATATCGGAAACAAATGATGAAAACTGATCACTAAAGCACTTTCATCATTCACTTCACATAAATTTAAACTCACCACTTTTCTAAACACACAAACCATTCATGAAGTAGTGAGAAATTCGCCTGATAATATTCCACCTTTTGGTAAACATTTACGAGTTCCATTGTTTGATTTATTTTCTTGAAGGTTATTTAACGAATAATGATCGATTTGTCTTGTAGTGTTTGGTACTTTTACAAGCCCATATAGGCTGTCCTAGCTTATGCGCAAACCAGTTATTTATTCTTCTCAAGTTTCATTCTGAACTTGTTACTTCCTCACTTATTAACTGTAGGAAGGAATTTCCTACAGGTTTAATTCTGAGCTATTCTCTAGACCGACGAATACAGAGTCTTGGTTTGGCCAAAGTCAGAACAAGCAAGCTATTTGGCTAGATAAACTTTATCTGTTTCTAAAACATAAATTAACATCGTTAGTGTACAAACAAACAGTATGGTCTATTAATACAGGGAAAAACAGAGACAAATAACATACCGAACAGTAGCCAGAGAATGGGAAAAATGAGTCAACAAACAAATATTGTTTTACAATGAACATCAAACTGTGATTGGTGAATAAAGAGATACAGTCGTACAGGGTCAAAAGGGGTTAATGTGGTGGTGAGCGTTTCCCTTTATTATTGGTGGGTTCGTCTATCGATCACATTTTACATTAACCCTATCTGATTTTATGTGTTCATATGGGTTGATTGTTTGATCTGATCAATACGTGTCTGTAACTCATTTTTGTCTGAATATGAATATTGAGTAATGCTTCATCAAAACGAGTTGCCTTACTCGACTTTCCCGTCTTGGTTCGTATTCCATTCTTCCAGCAACATTCTCCGCTTCGTCTTCTCCACTTCGTTTCTCTGAATATCTGTGCGGATCAATAAGTGTATGGAGTATACGCATTCCTATTTCATTCTCATATTCAACTTATTTCATTCCGTTATTCTCTAACGCGAATTAATTCTATGAAAATATACCGGGGTTATCGACATGTATATTTCTATAGTAATCATCATGCGATCTAACTAGCGTCAGATATTGGACCGCTAAACTCTGTTTTGTAAATTTTATTATTATTAATCACGAGTTCTGAATATTTAACTTACAGTGTTCATGATTATTTTATATTCTATTACTAAACTATGACTGGAATACAATACTTCCTCATGTTAAATCAAACCAACAACTGTAGTCTTTGTAATGTAAAATGTTTTTAGAACCCATGTAACTCCTTTGTAAGCAGTATGACCGTATTTTATTTTCTCTAACCTCTCTCGTATATCCACTGAACCTAACATCCATCTGTTGGTGTCTGAAATAATCTTGACACAATCGAGAACGACCCAATGCATGTTACATAGGTCACACACCATACTTCATGAAAGTAGATCCATCTCGAACACACCACAGTTTCACCTCACCTCATTTCTTTCACACTTAGTATAGATGTTATTGTCCTTATCCAATTACACAGTTCCCTGCATCTTCACTGAAAAGACTAAGAAATCAGTTATTAACTCATCAAGAGTTTTCTAATATTTTCCTAAAATCAGTTCAACATTTAGAACTAACAACTACTATTTCTTTCTCCTTGCAATTCACATTTTCTTATAATTACCACTTTCTAAAATTGGTATTGATTGAATAAACAGGTAACTCAATGTCTGATACATCATTGCTCGTGTCGGCATTTTTCTCATGTGATTGGATTTAATCCAATGTAAAATAATAAACGAATAAATGATACCTGTCAATAAAGTCGATTTCACACACAAATCAACCGATATCTCACAATGATGCCGGTTAAATTATAGTTTGATATTTGTCATGTACACCAGTTTTTACACTTCAGAAGACATCAGATTATTTTACTCACTTTCATTGTGTTGAAACTCTTTGATATTAGTCGTACGATGATAATCACGACCCCCGATGCTTTCTATTTCAGATAGTACACGAGAATCGTGTTAATAGCATGAATGAACGACCGCAGAAAGATGTGAATTACATTGAGAGGCCATTTATAAATGTTAGATGTTTTCAAAACCAATCAAATTTATTTGTTATTACTCATTATATTTTCTTATTCCTGATCGGTAAAATTTAGATAATATTTCTCACGTGTTGCGTGTCATCGTTCTCGAGATAGTATTTCTCTCAACATTTGGAAAATAATTAAACACAAAACTACATGGCAGTGCTATTCAATCTTTCAGTCTGTTAGGTGAAACAGATAAAATGGAACTTATATCGTACACGTACCTTAGGAAGACGACAGGTAGACAAACTCTCTACAAATTACTAGACTCGAGAATACCTTGGTTATGTGATAAGGTTTACACTGGAAATTCAACTTCGCGACCGGTAATATTCCTTATGATAAATGTTCATATCGTATTAACATTGTATGTCTAGTGAGTGTGTAGTCTGTACTACAGAATACGATAACCAATCAACATTTACTTTTTCGGTTGGCCAATCATCGAAATATGCTTTAATGTGTATTGATGACATAAGAGTCTAATAAAATCATGATTAAATTGGTCTGAACATTACGATATCATTACAATAAACGTCTAAGTACAGTAATCGGATTTTAATTGTCCTACTACCACCATGGAGTATGCTTCACGGATTCTCCTTTCGATCTTGCTGATTATAGTTAATATACATTGCAGTAAGACAACTTGTTAATGTTTCTCTTTGTTATATGGTGATTGTTTTATAAATAATGTAAAGGTATTTCGGTTAACTAGAAGAAATTGAAACAGATTTCTTCTTAACTGTTTATGCTGACTGATTTAAATCCCTTAACTATCCATCATGTTACCTGCGACTCAATGTAAGTCTGGTGAAAACTGGTTAGCTTGAATAGGACTGTGATCAGCACTTTATTTCTTCAGTATGTACTTGTTATGTTTGTTATTGATACCATGAATGTTGTTGTGTTCAGTCAATAAACGATTCATCAAATCATAAATAAGAACAGTCGTTGAATTAGTTTAAACAAACGTACAAATTTGACAGTACCGTTATGTCTTCTTATCTGATTTCAGGTCTGTCTTTAAGCTGCTATGAATGCAATCCTTGTCCAGTTCCATTCAGCAATTCTTCTTCAGTGAGAAGAGAACATAATTGTAAATGGTGTGCAGTAAGTGCAATGAATCATTCATTTTTTGAATTTCAATAAGCTTATCCAATGAGATTAACTAAAGTGTTGAACAGTTACTCATTAATGTACTTATGACCGTTCAAAACAGGGTAATTGTTAATTCATCTGAATGTCTTGTAGTATCTCTAGTGTACAAGCATAACTAACCAACAGTTTTATAAATGATTGAAAATTATCTATTCTTCTCTGTCATAAGTAAAATTAGATCTAAGTGAAAGTGAATCGTTAGTTGTTTTCAGTTATTTAGGGCTAAAGACAATTTACCAGTGTTAGTTGTTCTCGACTACAGTGCAATGTCGTGCATGGAGGACAGCTGACAGATGCATTCCAAGTAAGGACCGGAGTCAGACAAGGCCGTCTACTCTCTCCCTTCCTCTTTCTTCTGGTGGTCGACTGGATTATGAAGACCTCGACATCTGAGGGAAAACACGGCATACAATGGACAGCTCAGAACCAATTAGACGACTTGGACTTCGCAGATGACCTAGCACTCCTATCGTATACACATGAACAAATGCAGATAAAGACAGTCAGTGTAGTAGCAGTCTCTGCATCAGTAGGCCTCAACATACACAAAGGGAAAACCAAGGTCCTCAAATACAACACAGAGAACAGCAATCCAATCACTCTTGATGGCGAAACTCTGGAAGATGTAGAATACTTCACATACCTGGGAAGCATCATCGATGAACAAGGAAAATCCAATGCAGACGTAAAGGCGAGGATTGGCAAAGCAAGGGCCGCATTCCTACAATTGAAAAACATATGAAACTCAAAACAACTTTCAACCAATATCAAAGTGAGAATCTTCAATACGAACATCAAGGCAGTTCTACTGTACAGTGCTGAAACTTGAGAAACTACAACAACCACCATCAAGAAGGCACAAGTATTTATAAATAGCTGTCTACGCAGGATACTCAACATCCATTGGCCGGATACCATCAACAACAGCCTTCTGTGGAAGAGAACACACCAGCTTCCAACTGAAAAGGAAATTAGGAAAAGACGATGGAAATGGATAGGACATACATTACGCAAATCACCGAACTGCATCACGAGACAAGCTCTAACTTGGAATCCTGAAGGGAAGAGTAAAAGAGGAAGGCCAAAGAACACATTATGTCGGGAAATCGAGGCAGATATGAAAAGGATGAGTAACAACTGGGAAGAGCTGGAAAGGATTGTCCAGGACAGGGTTGGATGGAGAGTGCTAGTGAGCGGCCTATGCTCCTTCACGCGGGGTAACAGGCGTAAGTAAGTAATTGTCCTCACTTCGATCAGCTGGAATTAATCATCGCTGTGAACTATTATTATTTTCAAGTGATCTTCAGATTTCGAGAAACAAATCTATTCACTTGCACTATGTAAGAACAACAATGTCCAAGAAATAATTAAAACTGATTACCGTGATGTTGACAACAATATGTGTTCTGATAAAAAATATTATTGTAAACACACTAATTGGAGAAATCAATTTGACAATACTCATTTCACTTAAACAAATAGATTGTTAGATGTGAAGGACGTTCTACTAGACTCTTAGCAACCATTACATAGTGCTAAATGACCCTGTTGATTATTGTTTCTTATTCATAGAGATACTATTATTTGTGTTGAAATAACGAGAGTATATATATTTCACTTTCGTATGTTTTATTGTAGACGCTCTCGGTAGAACACTACCCAACTCCAATTAGAGAATGTGCACCTGAGTGCAGCTTTGCGTATTGGGGTCCAACATACAAATCATTGTCTTATGATTGTTGTCAAACTGACTATTGTAATAAGAGTGTACAGACACGTATAGTTCATCATATGTTGACTGTGATAGTCATAACACTCACTTGTTTCTTCAGAGTTAAGATGCAGTGAAACTGAACAATCATTATAATCTACGCAAATCGACTGTTTTTATTTTTATCTTGCTTTCTATGTTTTATAGATTCAGCCGTATATTAAGCATGGGCATTATTTTGTAACTTATAAACGAGAAAAATTAATTTTTTTTGAATTTCTGCAATTCATTGACACTTTAGTTTCATTCTGTTTTGTATTGAAAGTAATACTGTAATAAAACGAACCAATTTCTTGTTTAATTTCACATTTCCGTGTTAAACATTTTGTTAACGAATTAAGAATGACGGGTAGTACATGTAGGCTAAATTTGATTAATTAACTGACATCAGCTGACTGCTATTTAGAGATACAGTCAAATTACTCTCCTAGATCATAATGGCTTTATACTAGAACTAACAGTTTACTCAAAACATGAAGTTTATTCAGCAAACAAGTGAGATATATAAAACTATGTAACCACGTATGAGAAAAATGAAAATTTCCAACATGAACATCAGTTGGATGTTGTTCGATCGCTGTTACATTAACCATGACAAATTAAACAGTTCTCGGTAAAACTTTAGTCATTTATATGTATTGTTATTGAATCTGTTCACATTCTAGTCTTTTTTCATATCTTTGATTTCTCACATTTTACTAACAAAACTGAATTCGGAGTGAGAAAAACAGTTTGAAAGTATCTTATATATAAGATGGAACAAAATAAATTCACAGCTAGCTACCTTTTAGTCAGTTAACTGTTGGGATAAACCGGTTTCTTTTGGACATATTTCGGTGAAAATTAAAAGCTACGATTTTTCATACAGAAATGTTAACATGAATCGGTGAAATAAACGGAGTGAGACTACTATTGGTTATTAATTATATGGACTAATCATATAATCTTCCGGTCAGTGGAGGTATTTGTCAGTTACATCAGTAATTGAACCAACTATTATACTCTAGTGGATCAATTATCATTCATCAACTTCTTTTAAACTTCACCCCTCAAGACTAAACAATTCAGGCTTTCGTATTCCTTAACACTTTCCATATTATTCAACTGCTAATATGAGCCTGAATACTGGTGAATGATAAATTGATACTTCCATGCCCAGATATCTAATCCCGTTATTTTACGCAAATGATGCTTTAAAAAATAAGCGTTATCAGTATGACTAGTAGATAAATGGAAATAGAGTAATTTCAACACAAGTTGACGAATGATAAAACTACTCGAAGGTCACTTATTTATAAACGCTGAAATAACAATTCGACCGTATATTGTCGCAATTTTTCGAAGGTTATCTAGTCTGCTGATAGTCTAATGAGTAGTAAGACATAGATTTTAAACAATCTCAATACTGTTTTTTATTCTAATTAGTCACATAAATATTGACGTTTAGCCTGAATGAGTGGTTTATCGGAATCGCATCGTCATCAACATAACTATTTACGAATTTTATACTCCACATTATTCATTTGATTAACATAGAAAATTAAATCAACCTTTCCGGTTTCAAATTACAGTTACAGGTGTTTCGATTGGTTGTTTACCGATGTACCTCGAAAGTAAGGTTAGTTTGAGATGAGTCTATCAATGTACTGAGATTTACACGATTTTCAGTAGACTTTCGAATTCAATCAACTAAGTAGCAGCCACAATCATTGTGCGTTTAACTAGTCAGTTTATTGATCATAACCATTCTCTTAGCGTGTAAGTTCTTGTCAATAGTTCACCTTCATATCTCTGGAAACATTTTCTGCATGCTATATAGAGCCAGACAATGTAACTAATACTTACCGGTCTAGACCTCAGAAAAGACTAATGATAAAACTAGCATCCTTCATTGTTAATAAAACTTCATACCAAAAAAACTGACAAACTGAAACTGTGAAATATCCTTCAGATCAACTCAGATGGTCATTCGATGTATTAGGTTCAACCCCATGGATCTGAATAGTTCTCATTGTAAATGACAGAACCAGTTCTTGAGCCGATGTCAATGATCATTGAATGTCAGTTTGATTTGTATTATACCTCAGTAAATTGTTTTATTGAATGAGTGGACAAATTTGCAATCAATTTACTTGACACGTTGCGCTTAATTTATCATTTATATATCATTTTATTGAGCCACATTAGGATATGGGTTTAATTCCTTTAAGTCAAAATGAAGATTATCCAAAAATTAGAATTTTTCAATTAAATTAGTGTTATTTTATTTATTTTTTAAAATATTTAGTTTGTGTTATATTCCTCTCCCATTACCGAATTCTTAAACCACCCTTTCATTCACATATTTCCGCTCAATTGATCCTCTTAAATTATGTGAAGTCTTCCAGTTCTATTCAATCATTTCGTAACCCATCTTATCAGTTTATTAATTCCATGAATCCTTCATTACCTCTAAAATTATCACACAATTTATCACAATTTATCTTTACCTAATAACTTCTGACCTGTTCTTGCATGCATATATATATATATATATATATATATATATATATATATATATATATATATATATATATATATATATATATATATAGTTATTATTGATATCCTTTGTCATTTCAATGATTTACATTCAATTATGTCAATTGTTTCATACTATTTCTTACCTCAATGTTAAAATCTAACACATATTGGATGCCGGCTCAGTGGTTTATTTGGTTAAGTGCCTGGCGCGAGACTGACAGGTCCTGGGTTCGGATCTCGTGGGGTGCGTGATCGTCAACGCGCGCTGCTGAAGAGTCCAACAACAGGACGAAACGGCCGTCCAGTGCTTCCAGGTTTTCCATGGTTGTCTAGCTTCAAATGACTAATGATTTCAATCAGTGAAAATTCTAAAATGTCCACAAAACCCCTTCTGACATATTTGGTTGTAAGCAGTTGACAAGAAACCTCAAAATAAATGAATTCATAATATTCTGCATCAATAATTGTTCTGACTTTATTTAAATTCATAAAGAGAACTAATTGCATGAAACACTAATATCTCTTGCCATGTTCAAATACTATGCATTCTTAACATCTCAGTGATTGGCATACCTACTTTATTCTTGATTGGTCACTTTGATGATCACATTTCCCTGCTAGTTTCTTCATTGTATTATATAGTCCTCTCATATTTCCTCTACGTCGAAATGAAAATTATCTAAGAATCAGAATTTTTTCAATTAGATTTTATCGATTCATCGTTAGGAAAATTTAACCAACTTTAGACAGCAATAAAGGTGTTGTTAATGTTTTCTATTACACTCAACGTTGCACAGGTTTACATCATTTACAATTTGTGAATAACATATTTGACAAATCAACAAGTGGTTTGTTTCTCTTGTTCTCCACTCTATTCTCTACATTTACCATCAGAGATCAGTTGACAAATACTAGATATTTCTCATTCTTGTGATGTTTCATTTTGTACACATGTCATATGATTTCAATGTCAGTGAACATTCAAAGTATTTTTGTACTTTCTATTAAATGGTTTGGTAGTTTAGTAACTTTCAAACATCCATTCTCGTATTTGACTTAGTTGTTTCCTTTATTCACCAACGCGATTCAAGTCGATAATTTATTTCGAGGATTGGCGATATATATATATATATATATATATATATATATATATATATATATATATATATATATATATCAAGAGCAATCGTTCATACAATCCGATTAATGACAGACATCAGACCAGAAAAGTGGTGAGCCCATCAACAACATCGTCCGATCTAATTGACGTTAAAATAAAGAGCGCCTCACATTCATGATAAACGTCTAGAGGATTATATTAAAAGAATTATATCAAATTGTTGATATACTATTACCAACATTTCTTATTATCTTCACACAACATGAAATTCTCGTATTCTCGAATAATCCTCATTTTGAAGGTAATCAAAACTGAGTTTCATAGAAGCATTACACGCCAGAGGGAAAAAGATTTCCTCAATGTAGTCAGTGGAGGTAGTCAACTTATTAAAGTTCATTTATAAGCGAACTTGTAACACTTTTCGAGGTTTTCATCATTGTTGTTTACTCAGAGCAACATGAATCAATAATAAAGTTGTCATCATAGTACTTTGTGTCAATCAGATGACGACAAGGACAGTGATTTCTCAAAGAACACAATTTTACCAAAGGATATCTAATATATGAAATAATACTAGAAATTCAAAGCAAAATATTACGCATTCAATACTTTGTATTTTGATATTAGTCACATGAAACACATTTGTCAACAGAGTTCTCAGTCAATAATTTTAGTAATGTGGGCGTCAACTCTCTGTTTCATATTGTGTTCAGATGTATGTTAATGTGAAATTTGACAAAATAATAGAGTTGCCTCAGTTTTGAACTACATAGATTGACATTGTGATTGTGATGTATCAAGTTTGTTAGTGAGAATTAAGACGAGGCTGAGTATGAATAAGATGATATGATGAAGAGATTTTCACGATTTTCACTTGCAACATTTCATGAGATATGTATCTACTCCTACTGCAGTTAGTTTCTGAATAATTTTCTAATTTGTCTGGTTATTGTGTAAGACCTTGTGAATTAATGTGGGAAATCGCATTTGTTTATCAATGATATATAATCACAATAGCTTTATTCTTCACTACGAATTGGTTACAGTAATGAATTGTCAACATGACTTCTGAAATATTTCAACATATTTCTACATAACCTACATTCATATTGTGGTTATTCAAAAATTTTACATACTCAGTGTTTTCTCAATATCAGTATAGGGTTATGGAGATTGTTGAGCTTTGACGGACACCATGAATCGATCAATGTTTTTCAGTAGTCATCATCAGTCACACAACTTCACAATTTCTTGTGCTACATATACTTCCACATCCACCAGATACTGAATACATGAATTCTAATGTGTTCATCATTCACTTTTTATAAAACGTAGACAAGGAGAAGATTATATGAACATTTTAGTGTTTTGGTTTAACATTTCCAGTATTCAGTGTCACAATAAGTTGTAAGTCTTCCATAAATCCGTGTAAGC